TTCATGTATGTAGAACCTCAAGCAGGGGTACATTTTGAACACATGGCCACTTTTACTGCAGGAAATTATCTTCTGTGCTAAATTGGACTTCACGTCATATCGATCGGTGGATGCGGGGAAGTTTTTCTGACATCCCTCCATCAGGTTTTTCAATGAAGCTTTGACCTTGTCCATTGGCGGAACTAGCACGAACTGTTCGTGGTTCCTACACCGAGTTTCCACTGAGTTGTCCCCCTGTTGCCCGAGAAATGTGTGGTAATATGCGACATTTCTCAAAAGTGCAGTACTATGTAAAGTCAGCTTCCAGGTGGGAACAGGTAACTTCGAGGTAACCCGGAAGAGATTTTCAAAAGAGAATCTAAACAGACATTAACCCCCGCTCTGTAATCTGGCAACACTATCGTTCGAAGAGCTATTCTGCTGTTCGGAGGAGGCAACGACATCTGCATGTACACGATTACGACATTGCCGAGAAACGCTGCACCAGAGAAAGCAGGTGTTCATATAACCGTCAACGCAAGCCCAAGAGGCACTTACCGATAGCCCAGAGTGGGTTTTGGAAGAATTCGTGTGCCGACCGGGTAGAGTAAGACGACATTGGGCACAGATTGTCTACCAAACTGAAACCGCACGGAAGGTGTCTGCCGGCATAAGTTGTGTAAGGACCCGTCCTCTTGTACAAGAAATAGTTCACAATCTACCCAGCGCTACCTGACAATGCCATTTCAGGCACCAGACAGACACCTCTCCTTAGTGAGCACTAAACACAGGGCCGAAACTTCTGGGTAAGAAGCTTGGCTTCACATAAGTGATATACATGTTGCTCGTAAGTTGATCAGACATAACTCGATGACCAAGAACAAACATATCCCTTGACACCCAATGGCGTACCTTTCTTAAAAAGTTTGAAAGAGAAATTACGGACAACCTCGGTTTCACGCACTCATATCACTTCTTTAAGTTTCTCTTCATTCTCGACCGACAAAGACCGACAAAACTTGAGAATGAAGAGAAACTTAAATATATGTCTATTACTTGGCAACCATCTTCCATCTTCATATGATCATAACCAGTGATCATCACATGTGCTCCTTGAAGGAACACTTATGTCTCATCTAGAATGATGACTAATTCATTTACCAGGAGTATGTCCCGATTACTCTAAGATGCCCAGCTATCGAATGTGATTGTAAACCGCTGCTTCGATGTGTAAAAACTTCAGAAAACAAAGCAGAAATGAACAAAATGCAGCATTTCCATGGGTGAAGTGAGTGGTGTAAAGTCGATACATCTCCACTTTATGGAAGTAATTCAGTAGTTTCTGAAGAAGTACATTCACACTTCACTTGAATATGAAAGGACGAAATTATTCATACATATTCAGCATCTCTCTGAAATTCATTCAAGGTTGATGATATCTTGTGATTATGATTATTCTTGTAATTATGATTTTGAGATATTCAGGGTCCTTCAGATATTCAAGAGATATACAGTTATGCAATTTCCTTTTCTATGACCAACTAGACAAGAAACCGAGCACTAAAACTTTTGGGCATCCAAAATTCTTAAGAATCCTCTTACACTAGATTGTGCAAAGCATGATTGTATCTGCAAATATCTTTGAAGATCTATTTTTGATGTATATTTCTTGGCTTAAGATCAATGTCATGTGTGGTCTTTCTGCAGTAAACTCGACCTACATTATGCATGTGGCTGGAGATCCTAGCACCATGATTACCGCTCTGTAAGACTTGCTGGACTTGAGAGTTTGGGACAGAGCGCCAATTTCAGAAGAAGAAAAAGAAATCTAGTCAGCATTGTTAAGGGAATATGTACTTGATGATTCATCAACTTACCAGCGAATAATTCAGACCATGATATAAGTACTTGTGGGGCAAAAGTATCTAAATTGTGAATCTCTTTCTGAGGCTTAGAACTAATTGCAGTTTTCAATTCGCCAATTATTAGATGAAGTGAGTGGATGAAACAAGATACTAAGCACGTCTTTGATTCCTTTGCAGTATTCTGCTCTCCCGTAAGATTATCCGCATCTTTTACTTACTTCTTATTCCCACTTTTCAGTTTTGGAGAGGGTAAATATAATAAAAACGTCTCTTGGGGTGTCTGGGAATATAGATTTGTACCACTTCTGCGCCTTATTACAAGGACGACTGCCACTTCACAACTTCTTAGACCCATAGTTCTGGCACTATACTTGTTCTTACGCAACCACATGCTGTCTGCTTTGATAGATAGCAACGCATACAGATGAAGGGGAATATGCGAAAACTGTAGTTTCATGATAATGAGTTTCGGCTTTTGTAAGAAGCCTGTAAGAGTTGATAACTTAGTCTATCTGCCACAATTATCGAACTCTATTGGAATCAACAGTCATGCTTAAAAGGTTGAATGTATGTACAGTTAGACGTGTATCGACTGTCGTTTTCAGATAAACGTTTTCTCAAAATTTTAGAATATAATATTATTCTCACACAGACAAAGAGCTCTGAAGTGTTGGGGCAATACATCATCTCTCATGCGAGACGTATATTTAAAGTGAGCTGCTAAGATAAGTCAAAAGTCTTTTAACCCTCCTGCCTTGAGCAGAATTTGAACTTATAATTATGTCTACGTGGAATGCCTCCAAAATACTATTCTCCATCTCTACCCTCGAAATTACTCAATGATATTGGTTTTCATGAAGATCGTGTGTTCGTGCTCGTGTGTACTTTGTTTCGAGGCGATGCCGCCCAGAGTGATAAGACATTAGAAACAGAAAGAGAATTCAAAAAAGTTCGGATAATGTGAATGTGAGAGGAGAATGATGAGGGGAACAAAAAACAAGGACAAAAGTGACGATCGTAAAAGTGTAATAGGGAATGGAGGAGAGGGTAGGGCAGGATGATGGAAGTACCGAAAATGTTCATGTCTAAGATATTCGACAAGAGAAACAAAAAACTCTGGACTACAATGTGGATGTCGAGAGATGATCGACAAAGTTGGGATGTAAAACGTCCCACCTCCAAACTTTTGTTGCCATATATGGCTGGGTCTCGGAATATTTCCCAGAATATACACCTGGTTTCCTCTTCTAAGTTACAGAGTATTCATAATGAGGTCATGAAATGGCTTGAAGTAGACAGTGTCAGTGAGGAAATGTCCATATCGAAGAGTTGTGAGAAAAGGAAAACTTGGGCAGTCTCAGAGAGGAAGAGGAGGAGTGTGACATAAGGGAGAAACTCAGAAAGATGTGAGACGGTGTCAGACATTGTTCTTCTCAAGAGGATCGGTCGTATGGAGATGTTCTGGTGCGCGTAAGCAGAAAAAGATGATGATGGCTGCGTGCAGGGACAAACAGTGACAGCGATCGCAGGCACGATCATTACGCACAGTACAAGTCCACAGCCTGCATGATGCACTGCACTCGAGCTTTATGAGAAGAGCCGTAGCCGACTCTACAACTTGAGCATGAAGAGGTTGACCTTCAGTATCATTGGGACCATGGCAGTACACACCGCTCGTACTCATTCGTGAACTGCGTTCATGAGACTTCATCTCTTACTCGATCGTCTCTTTCGCAAGCTCAAGGTAGCAGCAGCAGCAGCACCACCACCACTCACTCAGCAAATGCATGAACGACATTCGCTTCCAACTTGCACCATAACGTTGACCTTGCGTAGCATCTCCTCACTCCACGTCTCGCCCTCCCGTCCCCTCTCGAATCTGTTCCGAGATTCGTCTACTTACCTGGGAGCTTTGAACTCGGGAACTGCGCTCCAAGTTTTCACAGGACTGTAGAATTTCGTTCTTATCTTATCCGAGCGGAGAACTGCTCGACGTTAACTCTCTTCAGCTGCCACAGAATCAGATCCGGAATCTTACTATCCATCCATGTTTCGATGATCGGCCCAGTGTCTCGGGATCTTGCCCCCTTTTTGAAGCCGGCCTGCGTCTCGTCGGTCGCTTTTTTCAGCCGGCTTGGGGTCAGGCTCTCACCCGACCTCCATAGCCTCCGCATTTCTCCTCATTTCCTGCCTAAACCCTTGCCTTTCGAGAGTCTTTGCCTCTTCCCGCAGTTGGCCCTGCTTCTGCTTGACCTGCAGAGCAGAGGATGTAGCGACTGTCGTTTGAATCCATTGACTTCGCCTCAGCACTTCCCACTTGTCCAAGATCATATCTGAGATGCGATGAACATTCTCCTCTGCTGGAACTGTTAGAAGGTTCTCTGGAGCTCGGATACTGATACCTCAACTGTTGCAGGATAGATTAGTTTGTGTGCACACGATTCGGCCCTCGACTGCATTGCATTCTGTGCATCTGACACAGCATCTATTTTGTTGAATCCTCTCCTGGTTTGCGTTACATCCCTCCATAGCCAGCACGAGGCGTGGGTTAAATACCTCCTCCATCGATTGGGTCCGATCTTTTGCATCGTCACTGACAGAACTGGGATTCGGTACTCCTCGTGTGGTTCTTAAGTTGTCTACATCTAGATGAGCAGATCCTTCGGATCTAGGAGAGCAGAATATCGGGAATCTGTCATCTCTGTGTTTCCATCCTTGACCACACGCTGCGATGAAATCAGCTTTCTCGAAAGGAAAAGCTCCAATTTTCCGCATCTGGTTCGAAGCATTGTCTCTGTCGGTTTGAAACTGATAGACATGGAGACGCAGATCACCCGTACAGGTACGTGAGAGCTTCGATGTCGATCTCTTGTGGCCACAAGCCACATTCATTTTGTTATGTTTCAGCAGCAGTTCGATGAGATGACTGATCGGTGCCGCATTGCTGATGCATGTACTCCCGATGACCGATTGAATCAGACTGTGTGTATGAATGTTTAGTCACTCCAGTTCACGAAGATGCAAGATGATCCACATGATGCCTCCATACTTATGCTGCAACTTCATATTCCAATTTAAAAGCCCACGAAGCTATGGTCTGTAAGCTAGACCTACTTGATTGCAGCTTTACGCAAAACAACCTCCCAAAAGAGGAGGGCACTTTTTCCTCCAATTGCAATAAAAGTCCAGTTCATGGCTGTACAGTAGAAAAGGCCCAGTACAGTCAAACTGTAAAGAGACAAGTTTCGAAGGCACTTTTATGACAACTATACATGAGCGCAGTTTTGTGGCTATATCGAGTATGGAGACTATCGTTGAAGAAGCAGCAAGGATTTCCCCTCGGCTCTAAATCAAGGCAAGGGAGAAGAGTTTCACGAAGACTTGAAAATTTCCCTATCCTGTCCAATTCGGGTGCTATTGAGCCGGTACGGAGTTTTGAGAGGTGGCCTCCATTCCGAATCTTCCGTGCAGATAAATCTTCACTGTAAAATTCTGAATATGATTCTTTGGCTTGTGACGAAAACACACACAATCACGTCAAGTCCAGTTGCTTTAGTCCCGAAGGTGCCCAAGGCTGTAGATGCGTGTCCAAGTGCAACTCTCGCCAGTCTTTTTGATTTATCGGTCGCGTGCAACTCTAGCCAGTTGGACCTGCAGGCGAGTCTCTGCTAGGAGCCGGGTTCCTGCCCGGGTCAGACCGGTTATTCGTGCGTACGAGCAGTTTTCGGGGTCTTGGAGTTACACTCGATGAGAGAGTGGATGCAGTCGGCGGCGCTGTTCTCATATCTTCCCGCAAGTGCAACATCTGCAGCATACGTGATGGTTAGTTTCTCTGCACTTGGTACCTCAAAAGCACACCGACACCGTGACGGACAGTACGTGAGGACCCCGATCGTTCTCTAGAGCTCTGCTGCCCATCTAAAGACATGCATCAGCAACATCGATACCTTCGGTTGTTCCCTCTCCGTCGATGCAAACAAACCCCCAACCCCAGATTACAGCTGCAAATGTGGTGCCGAGCTTTTGAAGTCTTTCTCTATAGATTGCACCGGTTTTGGCTTGGGCTTACAGATATGCATTTTGCCGGGATATAATGGACCTTGTTTCATTCAGATCACAATAAGTCGATCGTGCACGAGACCGAGACGAAGGATCGGCTCCAATTAAACTTGGTCTGGCGGCGGACGTAAGCCAGGTGCACCAGATGGTATCCTCGTATCCTCGAAAGGAAAGTGAGAGTTCATGCAGGGCAAGTGAGTCAGTTGGAGCTCGTCATAAATTTGCTCATTCTCTAGCGTTTTCTGGACGGACTCATGCACTTCTCTTTGCATCGATTTGATCAGCGGTGACACTGATGAAAATCGGATACGCGAGAAGTTAAAAGATCGCACGAAAAAGCAATCATCAACTTCTCACAGCATGAAGACATGCCAATTTCAGATTCGTCTGCTCTCATATGAGCATGGACGACGAAATTTATCCTCAGTCTCCTCCTCGGGCTTATACGCAGCCCTTTAGACTGGGTCTGCTGCCATTCGCTTTTGTGTACATGATCTCACATTGCACTATATACCGTGAACGCTCGGGCATTCAAAGATTGCAAGGACAGTGAACAGTTGAGAAAAAGCTGATGACTTCAAAGCTGCCCTATGACGGAGGTTGAACATCAGGAGTGACAGTCACCTTTCGGGAGCTTCCGTCGAATTCCAAGACTTCAAAATTCACATTTTCGAAATGCGCGCCCCTTAATAGTGACCAAACATGCCTGGTTGCTCCTGATGATTCATCAATTCCAAATTAGAATCCAAATGCAGTCCGTGGCTACGACGACTGCAATTTTGTACGAGGCACAGAATTCATAGAAGGACTGGTAATTCAGTGGTGATTGACAATTCTTCGGGAGGTGAGCATCGTATAGATGCCTTCTAATTTACAATTGTCGTGATGTAAAGAGATGTAAGAGAGACTGGAAAGAAACCTGATACTGAAGGCATAAGCTGAGCTGTATCTGACATTGCAGAAATGTCTTCGACCATTACTGAGCACGCAAGAGTGATCAAGAAGAGGAAAGTGAGCCTCATTGCCATGTTTAATAAGAATTCCAAGTCTGATGCTGCTCTTGTCAATCTGCTTGTTGCCGGAGAAATCCACTGAGTAAACGCTGAAGATTCAAGGTAAATTAATATGCAGGAGGAGATCAGCACCGTTTCACAAAATGTAGAACCACTGTGTGACTGAAAATCAGAATCAGAATGGATACGAAAGATGGGTGCGATCGTTGCCATGTTTGTATATATACAGAAGACAATGGCTTTGCGCGTGTGGCGACTACCCACGAGCATTCAATTTCCATTACATGGAAAGTCAAAACATCTCTCCAAAATGCAAAGTCAAGAGTTGACGCCTTCTCACAGATTTCTTCGAACTCGTGCTTAATTCGCTCGAGGGAAGGTCCTTGCTCGTCAATGGAGTTAAAAGTGTTAAAGCTAAGATTCCGAAATGAAACACGCTCTAGACGAGAGAACGGGAATCTCTAAAATGCTTTTTGTCATCGATTAAGGCTAATCTAGTAGATCTTGACGGGGTGTGGGATTAGGCAACTAGATCTACGACTTTCATTTTTAGTACGCGTCAAGAATTTTTCTGTGCCTGCCTCTGCCTCGCTGCTTTTCCTGTAGTCACAGTCTTTTGTACCCATCGATCAAGCTGCTGCGCATGGCAGGTTCATCCGATGAGTCACTTTGACTCAGTCCAAGCGAGCGGAGCAACAATCTTGGGAGGAAATTGAATTTCGGCCTCCACCTGGAGCTTATCTGACCATCTGACAGATTTTGCTTTCCAGCATCAACGATATCCTCGACATTAGTCGTCCGTGTAGAAAACGTCATTGGAGTAGACCCTTGATCAGACACTTTATCATCCATCACCTGATGTCAACCATGCTTCCGACGGAATGGGACGAAAAAATAGCTTGAAGCCGATGTAAAACTGGAGGTTCTACTCCTAAGAGACATTTCCCCATTAAACCCGAACATGTCAACGCTGGGATTCTCCAAGGAGTGGACTTCAGGCACATTTCAGGTCAGTTTCTTGCAGGACTGTTTGGTAAGGGAAGGTAGTTCACTTCCAGATATCAAGTCACATGCCGGACTGGCAGAGGCAGTTGACTCATTATTTCCTGGGTCTGAAATTTTCTCTTCTGTTTCAAGGCCTTCACCAAAAGTTTTTGACTTATCAGGACCTTTCCTTCATGACTCTCCTGGCAGCGACTTCAGTTGTTTCTTTTGGGTTTTCAAGGAATTTCATTTCTGCTGCACAAACTGGTTTCTGTGGCTTTAAATTTTCCATTCCTTTTACTCCAAATCCAAATTCTGGCATCCGGCTATTCCACCGATCTAGGTCTCCCCCTCGTTCCTTGAGCTCAAAAGCAAGTTGACAATGGTCAATTGTAGACATTCTGTCTGCTGTAAGCCTCAAACAAATTTGTTACACAATGTAATTGTATTTGCTTTGTATAATGGGATCTCTCGTTAAAGAGCAACCGCTAGATTGGCGTATGAGGGTACCAAGGTCTAATCAAGTGAGATCATGTTGAGTATCCGGAGTGATGCGATTTTTTTCCTAACCTTTAGAAACAGCTTATTGACCACAGAAAATGTTGTTAAATTAAGGTGAAAAGTATACTATGTTAAGAAAAACTCTTTGTTGCTTGGTCTTGATTGGTGCGAAGTGAAAAGATGTAGCTTTCAGATGCACACATCACTTAGTGGTTTGCATACTGCACTACCATCGTACATCACCAGGATTGGTTATTGGTTGGAAACAATTCCTTATCAGTCAGGTTACCAATCTGACGAGGGCGTTGCTACTTCTACCGTTTTTTATTGGCTCTAGTATTTTTTTATTCGGAGGTTAGTCATGTGTAAAAGCCTTCAAAACTTGTGTTACTTGGTCTGATGATTTGTTGGAGGAGAGCTTGGATACATGTCATACTCTTAGTACAAAAGAATTGTAGAATCAATTTTTATTTTTCTTCATTGGTTTTAAAAAAAAGGTTACTCAGTTTCAACACAAATATTACTCTTTTTCATGTCAACTTGCTTCATAACTCTTTCAATCATTTTTAAAATTCTCATTTGATATTATTTTTAGCATTTTTTAGCTTTTTTTGATAAATTGATATTTCTCGAATAAAGTCATGTTTCTATCAATTAAAATATTCTTTTACACCACTCATTTTTGTGTTTATTTCTTGTTTTTTTTTCGCTGGATGCTATTAATTTCATTGTTTCTCACATTTTTACTTAGCAAAATTATAATTTTTTTGGCACATTCACCTAATTGCATGATCATTTTAAAATGAAGTATTACGTATCAGCAGTTGTATGAATATTTTGTATCTTTTTGTTTCAATTGTCATCTTATCATTTTATAACATCGTTGATCATTTCGTATCAATCATTATATCATTATTTCATACATCTTCATATCAAATCTTCTATTATTATTTTGTTTGTTAATACTACATAAATAATCTTAACGTTTGCCACATGTGACTCTTAGCAATTTTTATCCTAACTTTGTATCACTTTATGTTAGTCACTGATCATTATAATTCTATTTTCAATTATTTCTGTATAAATCAATATAATATCATTTTGTAAAACTTGTAGTTTATTTAATATGTCATTTTTCAATACTTGATACCATTCAGTAAATATAATTTATAAATTTTTATATCATTAGTATATTTCAATTTATATAAATTAATGACTCATCATTTTGTATCATATTTTATTAGTTGTATCATTTCATATCACTTTCTATTGGATTTTGTATTATAAACTCTTATCCATAGTTTCAATACATGCATCATCGTGTGATATCATTTTGTCTCAATATTAATATCATCATTTCATATAAATGATCGTATTAATTATTATACCATCATTTTGGATCACATATTATTAAGATTAGCATCATTACTTTGTATTGATAATATGTAACATCATTTTGTAACTCATTGTAAGACACTTTGATTTTTTGTATTATTACTTTTAGATTGTTGCAAATAATAGCCGTTTAATTAAGTTATATTAAATTGATACTTTTAAAATAAATTATTCATTTTTTCATATTGAGCAAAATGGACTAAGATATTTGTACATTCAGCGAGAGAAATGATGACAATGCGCATTCACAAATTTTAACAATATCAATGGGTTGATGATATCAACGTATATTTCTTCAACAATAAATTAATGGAAACACAATATCAGGTTCAGCATGACGTCATACATCCAGTGATTATAAAATGGCCACGTTAGTACACACAAGTGCTAATAAACTGCAAAGTTTACGTTATAGCATGTTTTCAATTCAAGCATATCGTTTCAGTACATCATCTTCAGGTATATTACTTAATCTAAGAAGACAAATGCAAGACTAATGACAAGCTCAAGTCAATTGCAATCATGAATTCGTTTAATTTTATTTTTAAATGAAGCAAAATTAAAATCTAGTGCACATTTTGTACAGTGATGGAAATAATTCTCATGTAGATTTTATTGAAGTCATATAATGGAATACAAGAACCTTCACAATCTGATATAGATAATTCATTTATGCAAGCATATGACAGAATGCAAAAAACCTCATATCACTATATACATTATTTTGAATGTAAATTATAATTCTAGATATTGATACATGTTGAAATAATTATTTTTTTTAATGATGAAGTTTGTGGAACACTTAAAATACATCTTATTTACTTTGTTGAGTATCACTTGTTTTCATTTATATAGATAAGATGCATTGAAGATTGTACAAGATTTTCACCTTTGTGTATGGTTGAAATCCAATACTAAGAAGAATGATCAAGCATGTGATTTTGTCTCAATCAACATTATTATTATAATAATACTTACATTATCTAAAAATCAGGATGTCAGGTGTTGAATTAGGATATTGATTTGAATTGTTTGATGCAGATTGTGAACCTTGTTTTGACAAAAAAAAGATAAATACGCACAATCTATATAATTGTTCAATCATTTATAAGTTTTTAACCCATCAAGATGACGGTCAGTGTTCAATATTTTCTATGTGGTTTCATGATCATATTACGAAGGAAAAAGAATATATTCATTTAAGCAATGAAAGATTTTTCCACCAAAGAATTAATTTTTCTCTCTATAGACTACAATAAAATCTTAATAGGTTGCAACTAAATCAATAAGAGTCGATGACATTGAGGCAGTAGAGCCTTATCTAAAAGAGAAAATAAAGCTTGTTACTTATCGAACTATCATTTAGAAACAAATGATTACGTATTCTACAATAAATGTCAATGTAGAGAAAATTTGAGATATGAAGGTAAGTGCTTAAGTATTATTTTTTAAAGTTGCAAAGTGCAGAGATTTTTGTGCATTTTTTACACATTATTTTGACTCAACATGAAGAACTTTGGCTGTGAAATTTTACAGAGCTCTTTGTGGCTTATATATAAGTGCTTAGTGTTTAAATTGTCTTGACAATTGATGCTATTAGCTTACTTGATTACCATCGATACATCAGTATGGATGCCATTCAAAAGTATATAAATGACCATGAAACATATAGACGCATGTGTGATAATCCTCAGTATATTAAAAGACAATTTTTTTTTACCTATATCTCGTAACTACAATTTAGGATATCTTTAATGCAGTTGAACATGTAATGATTTTCAATTGGAAATTTGAGATGAAAATAAAGCCAAAATAGACATTTGAAAAATTAACTTGCATGCTAAGGATGTATTTGATGAGTTGAAATGCCTATCATAGATTGAAAATGCATCTAGTGATAAAATTTATTTTGGCAAAGATGGTGTATATATGTATATATACCTACATTGATTAGACATTTGTATACAATGCTAAAATATTGGAACATGAATAAAAATTGCAATATATTAAGAATAATCTTACTATAAATTTAATATTAAAATAATTGATTGTTCATGATCTCAAGTTTCAGCTTTAATAAAGATGAAAGTATTTGAACCATATTAACAAGATTTTGAAGTTGATAGTTGTTGAGTTGGAATAAATATTGTGTACTTCACAACCTTCATACATGAATAGATTGTGAATCTTTGTTAATAATGCAAACTTTTACAATCATTATGTGCAAAGATTTAGTATCTGTTAGCATTCTGACAAAGTAAAAAAAGCTATATTAAGAGTGAAATTAGAAAAATAACCAGGATAAAACTTTTTGTTGAGATCAAAACAATGATGATATTTTTCATATTTAAAATTGAACTTGAAAAATTTTGTATTCTTTCAAATGCAAAATTAATTAAAAAATTAATTAGCGTATGTTCAATTTGAAAAAAATCGTTATTTAACATAAAAATGGGATAAAAAGTGTGGTGTAGGTTATGCAATTTGCTCTAAAAATTTAAAAAAATCAAAATATAATTTTTGTGAAGTCAATGTTGGGAAAATACTCAGATTATATCATGTTTCATACATAATCTATGTAAAAGCATATTTATTTTTAACATTGATCATTAATAATTACAATAGAAGATGAAATCTAACAAGTTTATAAAATCACATGTTCAATAATATATACTCCTAAAGTAAAATTATTTTACAGTGTTCCATGAATTTGAAGTGATAAAATTGTGCTCCAAATGAATCAGATCAAAACTCATTGTTACGAACATGACATATACAATCAACTTTAGAGGCCTAATTGCTTCTTTCCAACTTTGGACTAGTAATGATGGCGGTGACTATTTCCAACTTCATAAATCTTGGAATTGTTTGAAAAATACATAGAAAGACTCCAAACAATGTACTTCACTCTCATCATTTCTAGTTGTATCAATTCTTTGAGTTACCGTGAAACCTCACAAATTTTGATACACTTCAAGCACTTCTGAGCCAAGACATAAAGAAATCAAATAAAAAAAACAACAACAATCAGCAACATTAGATATTGTGTGGCTAACAAGTATTTTTTGTCATTAGTTACTATCCTATTATCTGAAGCTTCTTGTTGTTGTGATAATTAATTTAAAATAAATTTTCATTCACATTGTATAAAAGTTGAAATTTTTCATAGATTGCGGAGATTTTCCTTGTTTTATTGATAAAAATATTGTTAAACGTTATAATCTTTCTAAATTACATAAAAAAATATCATGTAGCAATAGTTATTGACGGTAGGTCCTTGATTGCAGGAGATTGTAACGGTCAAACCAAAAAAATGTCAAACGCAGAAAATCAAGTCATAGCCGAGACAAAATGTAACGTGATTCATCCTCACGAGGGGCCCTACGTCTATCTATAAGACAACATTGACACACTTGTCATCGGCCATACATGTTACTTCAACTGCTGGTGATTGCAGACTTTTCATGAACATACATATGCATGAATTTTAAGGTGAATTTTTCAAAGATCAAACCTTTTGATTCAATTCTTGCTATACTGAACCGCTTGACAAAGATGTCACTTTTTGTGCCTTGCAATTAGAATATCATAGTTGAAAAAAACATCACAATATTTCTCAAAGAATGCATACAAATATCATAGACTTTCCTACAACATCATATCTAATCATGGTATGCAATTCACATCCAAGTTTTGACAATCTTTATTGAATCTCTTACAATCAAAGATCAATCTATCATTGGCGTTTCATCCTCAAAGACATGATCAAACCAAACCATACAAAAGTAAATCAAATATTTAAGTATTATTCAATATTTTTCATCAACTATCATCAATACAATTTGATGAATCTTACTCTAGATTCAGAGTTTGACTACAATTATACATTTTGAGAGTACTACCATCAAAATATGGATTTCATATACAATTTGACTCTTTGAACTTGAATTAGACTAAGAATCCGGTTGTGCAAGATCTTGTCACCAGACTTTTGGAAGTTCACAAAGACATGAAAGCAAGACTTGTATAAGCCTAAAAGCGGCACAAAAAAATGCAGAAAAATCTCAAAAGCAAAATCCAAACATCTCAATTGAAGATAAAGTTTGGCTTTCATCTCACAACTTGAAGATTATCTTATCTTGTGAGTTAAGATGAGTTAATTGTTAACCAAATGAGTTAACAGGTCAAAGCAATTGCATACACGTTGAACATGCCATCATCTACAAAAATCTAGTGTATCATGTTTTCTTGCTCAAGCCATATATAAAATCGTTTATGTTGGAACGGTTGTCATCATCTCCATCAAAAATTAAAATTGACAGGAAAGAAGAATTTCAAGTTTTCAAGATCTTTGACTTCTGCATCAATGAAAGATTATTACATTATCTTGTACATTGGCAGTTTATGCAATAAGCAAGCAAACTTCAAAATCTACTGCTAATTTTGATAACAAATGTCAAAGATGTTCAAATCAAACACATCTAGATCAACAGCAACATCAAATCAAACTGTAAGCATGTAACTATCACATGAACTTCTTCTAATAGATTTTTTGTTTTTGTTTTTTATTAGATCTACTCACTTCTGTTCTATTTTGATCTTATTTTGAAATATTTTCTTAAGCTAATCTTTTGTTCTATCGTAGAGTTTCCGTCTCATGTACAATTCAGGTTCAGACATGTCAATTTTGTTGAGAAGATTATCATAGGAAGACATGCATCTATATTTTGAGTTTACTAATCCTTGAAAGATAAACAATATCTTTTGGATCAAAAGATTATCATTGTGGTTAAAGAAAAAAATATAATTTCATAGTATGCCAAAACAAAAATGATGAACAAATCGTGTTACAATGCCAAGAAAATTTAAATTCAAAATTAAAAGCTTCATGCTTTAGATTAAAAAAGAGTCAACTAGATACTTAAAGTTTGAAAAACTTGTAGGGTTTGTGTTGTATTACTGTCATTCTAAAGATGTCAAATTGCTGAACATGCTTATAAGAATTTTAAGTGAAGAGAAATTAAATATTGACTATAAATAATAAAACATGCACATAACATGCAGTCTTTTTGATTCATTGGTCGCGGGCAACTCTAGCCATTTGGTCCTGCAGACGAGCCACCGTTAGAAGGAGGCGGATTCGGTCCCGGGTAACCGCCTGGGTCACTCAGCAGTTTTCGGGGTCCTTGATGTACATTCGATGAGAGAGTGAATGCAGTCGGCGGCGCTGTTCTCATATCTTCCCGCAAGTGCAACATCTGCAGCATACGTCATTATTAATTTTCTGCACTTCTACCTCAAAAGCACACCGACACCGTGACGGACAGTCCATGAAGACCCGCTCGTTGTCCAGAGCTCTGGTGCCCATCTAAAGACACACATCTGCAACATGCATACCTTCGGTTGTTTCCTCTCCCCCGATGCAAACAAACCCCCAACCACAGATGACAGCTGCAAATGTGGTGCCGAGCTTTTGAAGTCTTTCTCTTTAGATTTCACTGGTTTTGGCATGGGCTTACAGGAATGCACTTTTCCGGGATATAAAGGACCTTGTTTCACATCACAACAAGTCGATCGTGCACGAGACCCGAGACGAAGGATCGGTCTCCAAAGAAACTTGGTCCGGCGGCGGACGTACGCCAGGTGCACCAGATGGTACCCTCGTATCCTCGAAAAAGAAAGATCGTCATAAATCTGCTCTTTCTCTAGCGTTTTTCTCGACGGAGTCATGCATTTCTTTTTTACTCGACTTGATGAGCGGTGACACTGATGGAGGTCGGACACGCAAGAAGTTAAAAGATCGTGCGAAATAGCAATCATCAACTTCTCATAGCATGAAGACATATCAAAATCAGTTTCGTTTGCTGTCATATGAGCATGGACGACGAAATTCATCCTCAGTCTCCTTCTCGGGCTTATACGCCGCCCTTTAGACTGGGTCTGCTGCCATTCGCTTTTGTGCACATAATCTCACATTGCACTAAATACCGTGAACGCTCTAACATTTAAAGATTGCAAGGACAATGAACAGTTGAGAAAAAAGCTTATCACTTCAAAGCTGCCATTATGACAGAGGTTGAACATCAGGTGTGACAGTCACCTTTCTGGAGCTTTCGCCGACTTCCCAGACTTCAATATTCACATTTTCGAAGTGCGCGCCTCTTAATAGAAACCATACCTGCCTGGTTGCTCCTGATGATTCATCAATTCCATATTAGGAGCCACATGTAGTCAGTGGCTACGACGACTGCAATTTTTTACGAAGTACAGAACTCATAGAAGGACTTGCAAATGAGTGCTGATTGACAATTCTTCGGGAGATGAGCATCGTATCGATGCTTTCTAATTAATAATTGTCGGGAGGTAGAGAGACTGGGCAGAAACCTGATACTGAAGGAATCAGCTGAGCTGTATCAGACATTGCAGAAATGTCTTCGACCATTACTGAGCACGCAAGAGTGATCAAGAAGAGGAAAGTGAGCCCCGTTGCCATGTTAATAAGAATGCCAAGTCCGATGCTACTCTTGTCAATCTCCTTGTTGCCAGAGAAATCCACTGAATAATCGCTGAATTTTCAAGTAAATCAATATGCAGGAGGCGATCAGCACCGTTCCAAGAAATGTAGAACCACTATTACACTGAAAAAGCTTGGAATTGGAATGGAAATGAAAGATGGGTGCGATCGTTGCCATATTTGTATATATACAGAAGACAATGGCTTTCTGCGTATGGCGACTACCTACGAGCTTTCCATTACACAGAAAGTCAACACATCTCTCCAAAATGCAAAATCTAGAGTTGACACGTTCTCACAGATTTCTTCGTACTCATGCTTAATTTGCTCGTGGGAAGAACCTTGCTCGTCAATGGCGTGAACAGCGTCAAGGCTAAGATTCCTATATCAAACACGCTCTAGGTGAGAGAACGAAAGTCTCTAAAATGCTTTTTGTCATCGATTAAGGCTTATCTAGTAGATCTTTAACGGGGTCTAGGATTCGACGACCAGATCATCGACTTTCATTCATCGATGAAGCATCTGCGCATGACAGCTTCATCCGATGGGTCACTTTGATAGAAGAACCTTATATTTTACTCTTCACCTTATAACTTTTGGCTACTTATAGTAGCTTGTAAATAAAACCTACAACTTTAGCCAAATTTTTGATTCCAATTTTTCTTTCTCTTAACTTCAAAATAAAATTTCAATTTTCACTTCCTAGTCTTCTTAAAAACTTCTATATCTATTTATTGTTTCACGAAATTGTATGCACATCGCCCTTGTATAAAATCCATTATATTTTTTTCATTATTGGCTTAACTAATCGTGAGCTTCACCAACATATGTATGAATATCCAACCTTCAAATTTTGCTAAGATTTCTGAAAAAAAGTTTGTTCAGTATAAAATTTAAAGCTATTTTGTAACAATTTTATATTATTATAACTTTCAATATATACCAACTTGAATATATTAACTTATATGAAATTATCAATCCCAACAATAAGATAGAAAATTAAATTTTAATTTTAAAATTTTTAATGGTCAAATTAGATTGTTCAAAAATCTTACAATATTTTCATGTCAATCAAAACTTATTTTCTAGGTCAATATTTATTATTCAAATTTAAGAAAAAATTAATTGTGAAAAAATTTCATTTTATCAACTTCCACCTCCCAATTTGTATTGAAAGTCAACTTTATTTAGTTGAAATTTAAGATTGCAACAAAATGCAAAATTAAAATTTATACAACTCAGTTCAATTTTTTTTCCAATACTTACAAACCTCATGCAATCATTGAAAAAAATTCAATATATTTATCAAAGATTTTTTACTTTTTTTATCTTACATTAATCATTTTAAAGGTTTGGTTATTTTTAAAAAAGGTTACTCAATTCTAACATAAATTATCACTCTAAAAGGTTTTCAACTTGCTCTATAACTCATTCAATCATTTTTTAGCTTTCATTTGAAAAATTTTTTACATTTGTGGTGGATTTTTTAATAAATTGATAATTTTTTACTCACGTCATGTTTCTATCAATTGACATATGTATTGTCATCACTACTTTTGTTTCTCTTAGTTTCTTTTTTTGCGCTGATTGCTTTTTAATTTCAATTTATTTCAAGTTTTTACTTGCCAAGGTTCTATAATTTTTGGCACATTTACCTAATTGCAATCAATTTTGATTATTTAAATTTTAATCAAGTGTTTTGTATCTACACTTGTTTGAATTTTCTGTATATTTTTATCACAATTGTCAAATTATTCTTTTGTAACATTTTTATTATTTGTATCAATCATTATATCAAAATTTTATACATCTTTATATTCATTCTTTATCATCAACAGTCGCGAACATAGTAAGTGGCGCACGACACTTAGTCGCGTACAACGGTAATGGTCAATCGTGGGCAACGGTGAAGAACAATCACGAGTGACAATCAGTTGCGGACAATGGAGACGGACAATCATAGTCAGTTGCGACAATAAGGGAAATTCACATGTGACAGCTAGTTGCGGACATAGTTAGTCAGGGGTGACGGTGAAAGACAGTCACGAATGACAATCAATCGCAAACACAATTAGTTGCGAGCGAAGTTGAGTGCACATCAAGTATGACAGTTAATCGCGGACATAATGAGTCGTGGGTCAAGATCACGGACAGTCACGGTACTAATTGCGGACGACACATGGCGGATAGACTAGTGCTTTGGCAAAATTAGTGTTATAGAATGAGAGTTTGTAAAATATTTGTCAGTATAGATGTGTCTTTCATTGATACTAGAACATTGAAAAATGAAAAGAGTTCTCAGGTTGTCCATATTAACAAGTAAATTTTTTTTGCTCAAGAATATGAGTGTAGGGTAGTTTGATCATTATGTGATTAATGATGAAGAAAGAGCATTGGTACAAGTGAAGTTCTTGAACGCATGATTGAGTTAGTCGAGATTGACGTCAAGCTCTAATGATTAAGCTTGTCAAGATTAACGGTTAATTCTAGTGCTTGAGCTAGTCAAGATTACCGGTAAACTCAATCCAGCTTATGCATTAACCAAGGTTATATTTTTGGAGAGTTATCATGCAAAACTATGCTAAAATGCAAGTTGTGCATGGAGAGCACATATAGAGTTTGCTAGCATAGTATCTTCAATTATCTCTTTATTCTATTCTTTGATGGTTACGGTTTAATTCTAGTTAACTCTCGTTTAAAGAGTAGTCTTGTATTAGGTTTCTTTCTAAAAATTTCTACGGAGTAATTTTATAGATAACAAGGTTTTTGCTCCCTCTATACTATGAGATTTTTAGTTAGCTTTTTATGTTATATAGAAAGAGTCATATAAATTACTGTTTACTTAACAGGACTTAAAGTGGAGATTGTTGAGTTTAATTTCGATTAAAGAGTAATCTCAGTTTTTAACTATTTATAGCTAGGTTGGTCGTCGGTGTTGGGTATATATACCCAGGTTTTGTGTACTACTAGACAGAATGTTTAGTATAAACTCACGGTGCTCTTCACCCGTGGATGTAGATCTTGAGGATGAACCATGTTATACACTTGTGTCTCTGGTGTTTGTTTGTTTTAGTCACGAACATGACTCTCAAGTTTTATGGTCACAATATTCAATACTAATTCTAATTTTTTAACTTCAAATGTTATTTTGAGTCTTGTCTGATATATCTACTCACTTCTAATCTATTTTTATCTTACTTTGAAATATTCTCTTAAGCTAATCTTTTAATCTATCATAGAGTTCACTTCTCATGCACAATTCATGTTTAAAGTATTTAAGTTAAAAGCCATTACAAAATTTGATGAGAATATTATGATAAAAATACATGCATCTAATTTGTTGAGTTTAGTAATCTTGAAAGATACATGAAAATCTTTGGTATCAAAATGCAAAAATATTATCATTGTGGGCAAAGAAAAACTATACAATGATGTATGGCAAAAAATCTATGATGAACAACTCTTGTTACAAAATTTGTATACAAGCATTATAATGAATATTTAAATGCCAAGAAAATTAAACAAAGCTTGATGACTTAGATGAAAAAATAGTCAACAAGATACTTAAAGTTTGAAAAACTTGTAGGGTCTGTGTTGTATTACTTTCATTCTAAAGATGTCAATTAGGTAAGCATGCTTATAAGAATAATAAGTGAAGAGGAATTACATCTTGACTAAAAATAATAAAACTTGCGAATAACATGCAGTCTTTTTGATTCATTGGTCGCGTGCAACTCTATCCATTTTGATCTCCAGAGCCTCCGCCCCTGTCAGGAGCCGTATTCTGTCCCGGGTCAGACGCTTCGAGCAGTTTTCGGGGTCCTTGATGTACATTCGATGAGATAGTGAATGCAGTCGGCAGCGCTGTTCTCATATCTTCCCGCAAGTGCAACATCTGCAGCATATGTCATTGTTATTTGTTAAGATGACATCCGCAAATGTGGTGCCGAGGTTTTGAAGTATTTCTCTTTAGAAATTCTCAAGAGGTCACATCTGCAACATGCATACCTTCGGTTGTTTCCTCTCCCCCGATGCAAACAAACCCCCAACCACAGATGACAGCTGCAAATGTGGTGCCGAGCTTTTGAAGTCTTTCTCTTTAGATTTCACTGGTTTTGGCATGGGCTTCCAGGAATGCACTTTTCCCCGGATATAATGGACCTTGTTTCATGAAGATCACAACAAGTCGATGGTGCACGAGGTCTGAGAAGAAGGATCAGTCACCAAAAAAAATTGGTCTGGCAGTGGACGTACGCCAGGTGCACCAGATGGTACCCTCTTATCTTCAAAAGGGAAGTGAGAGTTCATGCAGGGCAAGTGAGTCACTTGGAGCTCGTCATAAATCTGCTCTTTCTCTAGCTTTTTCTCGACTTATCTTTTTGCATCTACTTGATCAGCGGTGACACTGATGAAACTCGGATACGCGAGAAGTTAAAAGATCGCACGAAAGATCTCACAGCATGAAAACATGTCAAATTCAGCTTCGTTTGCTGTCATATGAGCATGAACAACGAAATTCATCCTCAGTCTCCTTCTCGGGCTTATACGCCGCCCTTTAGACTGGGTCTGCTGCCACTCGCTTTTCTGTACATGATCTCACATTGCACTAAATACCGTGAACGCTCTAACATTTAAAGATTGCAAGGACAATGAACAGTTGACAAAAAGCTGATGACTTCAAGCTGCCATTATGACAGAGGTTGAACATCAGGTGTGACAGTCACCTTTCTGGAGCTTCCGTCGAATTCCCAGACTTCAATATTCACATTTTCGAAATGCGCGCCTCTTAATAGGGACCATACCTGCCTGGTTGCTCCTGATAATTCATCCATTCCATATTAGGATCCACATGTAATCAGTGGCTACGACGACTGCAATTTTTTACGATGTACAGAACTCATAGAAGGACTGGCAACGCAGTGCTGATTGACAATTCTTCGGGAGATGAGCATCGTATCGATGCTTCCTAATTTATAATTGTCGTAAGGTAGAGAGACTGGGCAGAAACCTGATACTGAAGGCATCAGCTGAGCTGTATCAGACATTGCAGAAATGTCTTCGACCATTACTGAGCACGCAAGAGTGATCAAGAAGAGGAAAGTGAGCCCCGTTGCCATGTTAATAAGAATGCCAAGTCCGATGCTCCTCTTGTCAATCTCCTTGTTGCCGGAGAAATCCACTGAAAAAACGCTGAAGTTTTAAGGAAAATAATATGCAGGAGTAGTTCAGCACCGTTCCACGAAATGTAGAACCACTGTTACACTAAAAAAGCTTGGAATTGGAATGGATATGAAAGATGGGTGCGATCGTTGCCATATTTTTATGTATACAGAAGACAATGGCTTTCTGCGTGTGACGACTACCTACGAGCTTTCCATTACACAGAAAGTCAACACATCTCTCCGAAATACAAAATCTAGAGTTCTCACAAATTTCTTCATACTCATGCTCACTTAGCTCATGGGAAGAACCTTGCTCGTCAATGGCGTGAGCAGCGTCAAGGCTAAAATTCCTATATCAAACACGTTAAAGGTGAGAGAACGAAAGTCTCTAAAATGCTTTTTGTCATCGATTAAGGCTCATCTTGTAGATCCTGACGGGGTCTAGGATTCGACGACCAGATCATCGACTTTCATTCATCGATGAAGCATCTGCGCATGACAGCTTCATCCGATGGGTCACATTGACTCAGTCCAAGAGAGCGAAACAACAATTTTGGGAGGAAATTCAATTCGGGCCCCCACCTGGAGCTTATATGACCATCTGACAGATTTTGCTTTCCAGAATAGAGATGCATAAACAATATCCTCGTCCATCTAGAAAACATCATCAGAGTAGACGGTTGGTCAGACACTTGATCATCCATCACCTCATCTCGAACGTGTTTTGACCAGAATGGGACGGAAGGAATAGCTTGAAGTCAATGTAAAGTTGGAGTTTCTAATCCGAAGAGACATTTCCCCATTAAACCCGAATTCGTCAACAACGAGTGGACTTCAGACACACTTCAGGTAAGGTGCTTGTAGGACTGTTTGGTAAGTAAAGGTTGTTCAGTTCCAGAGAGCAAGTCACATGGCCGGACTAGCACGAGCAGTTGACTCAGGAACGTCATCCATGTCGTATGTACTCTCCTAGTTATCATTGGGCCTGAACTTCTCACTTCTCTTTCAAGGCCTTCACCAAAAGTTTTGACGTGTCAGTATCATTCCTTCATGACTCTCCTGGCAGTGACTTTAGTCATTTGTTTGTTGGGTTTTGAAGTACTTTCATTTCTCCTGCACAAGCTGGTTTCTGCGGCGTTTATTTTATAGTTCCTTTTACTCCAACTTTAAATTCTAGCATCCTGCTATTCCAATGATCTATGTCTCCCCCTCGTTCCTAGAGCTCAGAAGCAAGTTGACAATGGTCTGTTGTCGAAATTCTGTCTGTTGTGTGCCCCAAACAAGTTTCACAATGTATCTGTATCTGCTTCGTACAAGAGTATCTATTGTTAAATAATACCTGCAAATGCATGTACATTATATGTCATTTATTGCAGATGTATTTGTCATTTATAAAAAAATTCATAACACAAAATAACCAAGACAAAGTGGAGTAAAGTAATTATAGAAATATTAGACTAATAGGTACAAAATGTTGATGCTACAATGATGTAGTATTAACGATTGAAACGATGATACAATAATTGATATGAAGATGTACGAATGATGATACAAAAATTAATTAAATTTTACAAATTGATGATACAACAAGTTACAAATTATTATAAAAGTGCTGATACAAAGTATATGATTCACAATAGAAATAATCACATATTTTGTAGAGTAGTATTTCTTCTTATGCATATAGATAAGATGCATTGAAGATTGTATGAGTTTTTCACTATCATGGATGGCTGAAATCCAATGCTAAAAAGAATGATGAAGCAATGAATTTTTTTCAATCTTTATTAGATATAATAATGATAATTACATTTTTTGAAACGTCAGATGTTGAATTATAATAAGCATCTAAATTGTTTTATATAGATTTTGAACCTTGAATTTACATATAAGATAAATATGAAAGATTTATAAAATTTTCTAATCATTTATAAATTTCTTTACCCATCAAGACAATGGAACAAAAGCGAAGATCTATAAGTGTTCAATATCAATATATTACAACTATACCAATAAGAGTTAATGATATTGATGTAATACAACCATACATAGAAAAAAAATGAAGCTTGGTACTTATTAAATAGTCATTCAGCAATATATGATTACGTACTTTCAAATTAATAACAATGCCAAAAAAATGAAATATTTAAATTAGATTTAAATTAATTTTTTTTAATTGCAAAATGTGGAGATTTTTTAGCTTTTTCTATCTATTATTTTGACTCAACATGAATAACTTGGATTATTTAAAAACATTAAGTATAAAAGTTGACTTGACAATTGATGCATAAATTTATGATTATGAGAAGTCAAAATACAAAGATAAAACACAACTTTGAAAGGTAACTAAAATGATTTTTCTTTTCTTTATATAAATTTTATCAACAAATTCAATAAAATAAAATGTTACTCCATCATACATTTCACTACTAGTGAATTGATTACATGAAAAATAGTTTTTAACAAGTACAATGATTGCTTACATGACATTTATACATAAAATACTATAACGCAACCATATTTTCATCTTAAATAATCTTTATTTTGATTTTAACAAGCTAAATATGTTTACAAATCTCATTTCTTTGAAGATGAAATTTCATCATTGCACATGATATCAAATTATTGAACTATCAAAGAAACATTAATGAGAAATTTTATTATATGAATCAACTTGATTCATATAATAAATAACTTATTCATTGAATTAAATAGAAAAATTTTTAATATTCTTTTTTACTTGAATACTTTTTTATCTCATGTTATTGATGATCATTTATCAAGATTTAAAATAAAAATTTGTTGATTGATTGATAGAATTTTTTTGTACCGGTACATATTTTCATTTATTAATGAATTTTTTTCTAAATACTAGAGTTACAATGATATCAAAACAATCCTGTTATTTTCTTGAGTATGAATCATATCTCATGAAATATCAAGTAAATGATAATCTATAATATAAAAATTTAAAAAAACTTCACTCGAAGATGAAACAAAAACTTTAAAGATGAGAGATATCAACAATGATTTTACTTTTCTTTATAAAGCTCTTACGAACAAATACAATGATATAAAATCTTATCTCTAACATCCAATCCACTACTAATGGATTGGTGACATGGCGGATATATTTAAAGAGTTCACGGATTGCTCACGTGTTACTATCAACTAATACCCAAAATCCTTACCTAACAAGCACACGTATTGTTAATGTGGCACTGTAGATGTTTCACTATTATCTACTATACTCAACCTTCAATAATCTAAACTTTAGTTCTAACTAACTAAAGATTATTATTAACCTCACTCTTTTTAAAATGTAACGTACTCGTTTCACATCCGTTCAAATTCATGAACTATTAAAGATGTATTTGTCAATTTTTCAATTGGTTACTAAGTTGATTCATATGATGTATAATCATTTCATTGAATCAAATACTCTACTTTAGGATATTTATGATCTCAAATACGTTTCTTGAGTATATTTTCAGCTTAAACTTCTCATGATCTGCTATCAAGGTTGGAACATGATGTGGTGCTTGTTGGTTGTTGAATTGTTTTGGTCGTGATACATGTTTTTGCATTCGTGACACATGGAATACCTGATGTATTTTCATAGATGACATAAATTCCAACTTGTATGACACTTAATCAACACCATGCAAAACTAAAAATGTACCAATGAATCTAGGATTTAACTTTGGTGTTCCTACAAGATACAAACTTGTTGTAAATAATCAAACATGATCTACTAACTTAAAAATCACTTCTCTATGATGAACATCGACATGTTGTTTTTGCCGATTTTCAATTATCATCAACTTCCCCTTAATCTAATGTAAACTCGATGAATATGCTCCACAAACTGATTAATTGCTACAACTTTGATCAATAACTCTTTTGTTTTGAGAAGTTAAACTTGAAGTAGTTATAGGATGATCTCCATATATGAGTTAAAATTGAAATATTTTTGTGTATGCATTAAAAAAAATTTGTTATTCCAAATTTCACAAGTGTCAAAAGGTTCTCTCACTCTTTTTGCTCTTCTATTGTGAATGCTCATAACATATACTCTATGGTTCCATTTGCCCATCAGTATAAGTATGATATGCAGTTGACATTACTAGTTTCGTTTTGAAAAAACTAAACAAAATTTTCCAAGATAAACCAATGAAATGAGTATCTCTAACTGTGATAAACATTTTGCTTACGTCATGATTCATAAAAATTGCATCTAGATAGAATTAAGTTACTTTTGAAACTCTTACCGTGTTTGTGGTTGGTCTTTGTTGTTTTCATTCGTGTACTAATTAGTCTGTTAGTTGAAAACAACACGTTATCAATTTGTGTGCTTATTAGGTGAAGATTGGATATGCTAATTTGTGTGTTAGTTGGCAGCGACACGTCAACAATCCGTGTGTTTTTTAGATATATTTCGCATGTCATCAATCCACTAGAACTGGATTGATGATGAGTATGAAATTTTATCTTTTTTTTATTTCTTCGTAATAACTATATAAGTGAGAGTGTATTCATTTTTGTTATCTCTCATGTTCATAATTTATTTTTTCATTTCCAAATGAAATTTTCTCTAAATCCTATTGTTACATCAATATTTCAAAATGATTCAAATTTTATTTAAATATAACAAATTATCACACAATAAATTTTTCAAATTTGTTTGATACGTTTATCTATTTCTCTCTATTTATATTACTTGAAAAATTATTATAGTAACAAGTGATGATTATCATTTAATTTAATTTTATACAGATAAATATAAAATATATTTAACTTAATTTCAATATGTGACAACATGCCACTAGTCTATTCAGTCCTTCTAAAATTTTATTGTCTGTAATTTGAGTTGATAACATGTCATTTGAAATTTTTCAAAATTTTAGAATATTTATTTAACCTAAATGAACTTTAGATTTAATCTAACCAATGAAATTTTCATATCTTAGTCAAACTAATCAAAATTAATATGTACTCAAAGTATTCTTTTCTTAGAATTTGGATTTCAATAAAATACAAAATGAAAATATTTACTCAAATCTTCTAAAACTATCATATTCATTTTGCCAAATATAGATATTATATCAAAATTTTGACATGATTAACTAAAATTATTTGTATTAGAACCAACCATAATAAATTTTTTACTTTATTATATTATTACTTCATACATACAACAGAGTATTTTACAATTACATTTTGGATTAAATTATTTTTGTAATGTCTAATGTTGTACAATAACACTCCAAGATATTCTTATTTTTAAATTTTCATGAATGAAATTTTCTGCATCACAGT